TGAGTGTTTAGTGCAGACCTCCGTGGTTCCCGTCTCTGTGGATGAGGCATGGGATTTTGGGACTATGCAACTTTGTTGTTGTGTGTCAATTCCAACTAACAGAGTAGAACTGCCCTATAGAGTTTCCTAGGCTGTAATCTTTACTGGAGCAGATTGCCAGGTCTTTCTCCTTCGGAGCCGCTGGATGGGTTGGAACCACTGACCTGTCAGTTAGCTGCTGAGCAATTAACTGTTGCGCCACCAGGGCTCCTTGATGCAGCTTTAGAACTGTTCATTGTCTTACCAAAGAGTCACGAAAGTCCTGTGAATTCACTTCCCCTTTAGTAAAGATGTTTGAGTATACGCCTCCAACACGTCTGTTTACTTGCCATATTTATAAATCACATACGTGACCACTCTCCTGACTTATTTTGCACCTTAGGAAACACATATAAAATCGACAAGTTAGAGGATGTGATAGGAAGTAAATTTAAGGAGACATTCTAGTAAATTCTTTTTGCGTGCCCGTCACACAGTCCCCACTCTCAGACCTATTTTGTAGTTGATGAGGCTGAAGCCCTGAGCGGCTGAGCAGCTGGACCGCACCACCACCACCAGCTGCCCTCTAGTCAGCTCCAACTCATGGCACCCCCATGTGTGTCAGAGTAGAACTGTGCTCCATAGAATTTTCAGTGGCTGAATTTTTGGAAATAGATGGCCAGGTCTTTCTTCTGAGAGCAACCTCTGTGTGGACTCGAACCCCTAACCTTTTGGTTAGCAGCCAAGCGTGTTCACCGTGAGCACCACCCAGGCACTCCCAACAATTGGACCAATAGAACCATTTTGGTGGTGGAGCTGAGCTCCCCCTCCTTGTTGCCCCTCCACCTATCAGGAAGCACTTTTTTTATTTTGTCCCATATAAAAATTTCTACATACATTGTTAAGTAACTCTGATTGCTCTCCCCATACTATGACAGCACACTTCCTCCTTTCCATCCCTGATTTCTCAAGTCCATTCAACTACCTCCTAACCCTCTCTGCCTTCCCATCTCACCTCTGGACAGAAGCTGCCCATTTAGTCTCTTGTATCTACTTGAGCTAAGAAGCACACTCCTCACAAGTATCACTTTATGTCCCACAGTCCAGTCCAATCCCTGTCTGAAGAGTTGGCCTCAGAAATTGTTATAGTTCTGGGCCGATAGAGAAACCAGGGGCCATGCTTTCCAGGATTCCTCCAGTCTCAGTCCATTAAGTCTGGTCTTCTTACTAGAATTTGAGTTCTGCACCCCACCTTTCTCCTGCTCCATCCGGGACTCTCTGTTGTGTTCCTTGTCGGGGCGGTCATTGGTGGTAGCCGGGCACCATCTAGTTCTTCTGGTCTCAAGGAAGCACTTTTTGAACCTCAGAATTTTATTTTTGTTAAAACATAATGTTATAGAAATATTCAAAAATTCATAAGAGTAGAGAGAATAGCAGAGTGAACCCCCACATACCCATCACTAGCTTCAACATAGATCAACTCTTTTGAGCTCTTGTTTTATCTACCTTGCTCCACTTTTTTTTTTTTTATAATAATATTTTATTGTGTTTTTGGTGAAAGTTTACACAGCGGATTAGGTTCCTATTTGACAATTTCTATACAAATTGTTCAGTGACATTAGTTACATTTTTTACAACATTCTCGTTTCCATTCTGGTTGTTTCATTTCCAGTACTCTAGTTTCCCTGCTCGCTTATCTTCTCATCTTTGCTTTAGAGTTATTGTTGACCTTTTGATCTTATTAGATGGTTTTTCAAGCTCCACTTTTTTTATGCATATTTTTTACTTTGTGTGTGTGCAGAGTGGGGAGCTGGGGTGTTTTAAAGCAAATTCAAGATATCATGTCATTTCTCTTATAAATACTATAGTCTCTGTCTTTAAAAGGTAAGACCTTGTTTTTTAACGTAACTGAAGTATCAGTAAGTGTTCAACAAAGTTGACGCTAATTCCTTAATGCCTGGGCCCTGCTCAGTTTCTCCCTGTTGTCTGTTTATGGTTGGTGGTCTGAGTCAGCATCCAAGCACTTGCTGCATTTGGTTGCTGTATATGTCTAGTCTGCAGTGTGGGCCGTGGAAGTTCAGTGTCATGGGTCTGGGGTCTGGGGTCTGACCCTTTGTGCTGTGCGTGTGGAAGTGGGGGCCCACAGAGAGCACTGACTCTGCCTCTTGTCCCCTCTGCAGAAGCGCTATCTGGAGCACCTGCTGCTCTGTGTGCAAGCCCTGATTGCTGTGTGTGGGGAGGACTGCTCTGCGTGCAGCCTGCAGCTCACGCAAGTGCTGGTGGCGATCCTGGCTGCCTCTGGTGCCACAGACCTGGACGAGAAGGTGAGACAGGTCGGGAGTACGTCTCCTTGGCTGCTTGGCCTGACAGAGAGGCAGTTGAGCCTCTGAGTAATACACCTATCGCTGTAAATCATTACTCTTGTCTTCCCAGCCTCCGGCATGCCTGTTCAAGCTGACGGGGAGGATGAGAGAGTTTAGATGTTTGACGAGTCAATCTGATGTGGCCTGGGGGTGCACAAAATCTTAGATCCCCTCCAGCTGCTGATTTGGTTTATATCTCAGGGTTGAGACGACTATTTAATCTTGGAGTCTACTGCAAAAGAAGCAAAGAAACAAGACCAGCTTAAGCCTTAAATCTGTGCATTTAAGTGTAGCTTACCGAGAACCAGTGCCTGGGGCTGACGGTCTAGAGGGAAGTCTCATCGTAATTTTGCTGTCTTTATTGGAGCCCAGTTTTACAAGATTATTTCTGTCCCATTGGTGCTGTGATTATGCTTTAGCATCTTCTAACCTCAGGTTCCCTCTGGGCTGCTAGGACCATCCAGAGCCCAGGCTGCCTCACCAGTCTCCTAGAGCTCAGAGCAGGGCTTTCTTTCTGGTTCTCTTTCTTGACAGTCCTCACCAGCCCTCTCCCTAACCTGACCATCCGTCTCAAGAGTGACAGGGGAGGCGTTTCTGTGAGATGTATGAAGCCTGCTTGCCCTCCATGGGACTTTCCCTGAAGGAATCTCACTCCTCCCTCCTTCCTGAGAGCCTGTTCAAACTTTGTTCTACTTCTCTCTTTAAGAATAACCTTTCCAAAGGGCATCTGCCTTAGGAGACAACTTGTCACTGGTAGGGCCATAAATACCAGCCAGTGCTGGAAACACACAGAGCCTGGGGCCGTGGAGAAGGAAGCTGAGCAACCAGCAGATTACAGACCACTCTGCCGGGCTGACGCTAGCCACCTCGAAGTCACTGCAGGGCCTCTCAAGGGCTTCCGAATATTGTCAGGCCCTGAGGGGAAAGGCACAGATGGCTCTGGTGGAAGGTGGAGGACCACTGTAGCACTGAGTCATCTGACCCTTTGCTCCCCATCCACAGACAGCCTCCGTGTGGTTTCCCCTGCTCGTCGGTGGGAGGCAAGGGGACTCCGGGTGTCTGTGTACGGGGTTAAGTCTGTGCATTCTGACTCTCCAAACCACCAGTCCCTCTCTCGCTCCCCTGGAGGAGCCCACTGGCACCCTCGTTCTCCTCTGTCTGCATAGTGGGGTACAGAAGCAGCTTAAGGGGCAGCTCCTTGGTGGGAGTCTTGGCACTGTTCCGCAAGGTAACCCCACTCTAGATTCACATAAAACCAGAGGACTGGCAGCTGAGTTTTTAAGGGAACATGCTTGGCTTTCTGCTTTGTCATTTGTTGTACGAGTCGTATGGGCACACATGAGTTGGAGTCAGCATTACAATCTCGTCCGCGGTCCCAGCTCTGCAGTCTGCACTCAAGAGTGCCCCTGCGCACGGCAGTGCCCACTGTAACGTCCACATTGAGTGGGTGGTCCTGAGCTGCCACTGACATGCATGGGTCTGTAGTCAGGGACCCTGAGCACCCCCCTTTCCCTCCAGGTGCAGGAGACGGTGGGCTTGCTGGCTGTGGCAGAGGGCTCTGATGGGCCCCAGGATGTCTACCAGAAGCACGTGGGCGCACTGATGGAGTGGGTGACAGCCTCGCATGGTGACTGGACCGTGTACTCCGCGGAGCTCGCGCAGTTCGGCGTGCTCATCACTCAGGCAGGTAAGCTGGCCGTGGCCGCAGGTTGCCAGCACGCCCTGTCCCTGCCAGCCAGGTGCTCCAGGTGTCAGTCTGTGGGAGGAAATAGCAGACATCTTCATCACAGGCATTGGGAAGGCAGACTGAGCTGTCATTAACTGAGGCAAAAAAAAAAAAAACAGTTGCTGTCAAGTCAACTCTGACTCATGGTGACCCCAGGTGTGTCAGAGTAGAACCGTGCTCCATAGGGTTTTCATTGGCTCATCTTTTGGAAGCAGATCACCAGGCCTTTCCTCTGAGGTGCCTCTGGGTGGACTCAAACTTTCAACCTTTCAGTTAGCAGCCAAGCACTTAACCATTTGTAACACCAAGGCACTCCTTAACTGAGGTGAATTTAAAAAACAAAAGTAATTGTCACTCTTGCTATGTCGAAGCAGTGACAAGCATTTTAAGGAACAAAAGCTTTTAAAAGTGCCAAAAACATCACATCGATGATTTCATGTGAAGTAGCTCTCTAAAGTCTGGCCAGGCACACATCCTTATGTTCAGCCTAGAAGATGTGATTTTTCATGGCCGGTTCTGTAGTTCTGTACTCTTCCAAACTTGTCTAAACATTGCTGTGGAATGTAGCGCATCCAGCCACGCTGACGTGTACAGAGTGTGCCTGCAGAATGCTGTTCGGACCCGGGCCCTCTGGGTCTTCACTGTGTTTACCCATCCTCCACAAGCCTCCAAACTCAGGCACAGCCGTGAAACGTATGTGTTGCTTGATAACGCTTTGCTTCAGCTGTAGAATGCACACTTCAAAACTTTAGCGAGGTTTTCATGAAAGAAATTACAGTGTTTGGTTCCATATACCCTGTGCTTTTCCAGGGTGTGCTATAAACTTGTCAAGCAGGTTAATTCTCTTTTGTTTTTTTTAAAGAGGCAGCTTTATTGTTATAGAGATTGTCACATTCTTTCTTTCAGACACATATAATAAGATACTCTCTACAGAAGGTTTTCTGAATCTTGACATTATTTATGTGTTGGGCCAGATAATTATTTGTTGTTTGAGGCTGTCTTATAAACTGTAGGATTTTAGCAACCGTAAAAATGGCACGGCGGAGGCATCTGACCCCCTCTAACTTCACAAAGGGGGAGGAGAATCAAGATCAACAGCCCAAGGCTGATACTTATGAGGCGTCCTCTCTTCTCCATCTTCACCAATTCTGACACCAGCCATCCCTCCCATGGCTCTTTCTGCTTCTCTGCTGGGTTTGATTATTCATTGCAATGGCCACACAGAATTCACAGACAATACTCATAATTATGGGGTTTATTAGGGAAGTAAGAGGTTACAATTCAGGTTCAGGTATGCTCAGGCTACAGCTCTTCAATCCAGACAGTCTCTTTTCAGCAATACCTGCAGGCAGGCCTCTTTGTGGCCCCTTGGCCTCTGCCCTGCTCCAGCAAGTGTTACAAAGCCCTTTTAGCTCTGCCAGTAAGTGCCCAGAGGCACCCCACTCCACCAGTAAGCCTCAGCCCGAAGGTGCTCGGCTTTCTCACTCTGCGGGCCAGGCAGTCTTCTAACCGTCTTCTGGTTCTGCTGCCACCATTTCTCTGCCACTACATCTCACCATCTTTGGTATCACAGCTATCTCTCTCTGTCTCTCTCTCTCGGTCTCCTGGTTCCAGGAGCTTCTCAGTGCAGGGATGCCAGGTCCAAAAGACACGCTCCATTCCTGGCTCTTCGTTCTTGGTGGTCGCAAGACCCTCTCCTCCCGCCTCTGGGATGGCTCATTTTAAGCCTAGCAGGATGATAAAGCTGACCAATCCCTCCGTTAGAGTTCCATATACTTTATTTGTATGGTTCCACCCAGTCATTGTGGGTGAGTCACAAAGACCATGGCTAGAAGGGCCATACTAAGCAATTCATTGCACTGCAGCAACATCCCTGGCCTCCAATTACTGGATGGCCAGTATCCTCCCACCCGCAGTATTGACCCAGAATGACTCCAGACATTATAGAATGTCCTTTTGTGGGCAAAGTCAACCTGGTTGAGAACCCTAAATTAAAACTATATATATATGTATGTATTTTTAAGGCCATATCTCAAAAAAATAATGTTGAAAGAAAAAAGATTACATGTAGAACACTATGTGTACCCCAATGCCAGGTATATAAATTAAACAAATACAAAATATTTCTGGTATAATAAAGGAGTCCTGAACCCAGGTGACAGGTTATTTGGACACTTGGCATGTATTGTTCTTTCCATCCAAAGCATCTTTAAATCCTATTCAAACATGAATCTCACGGAACCCCTGGTTACAGAGTCGGAGAAGACACAGCAAAGTCACTCCTCTCACGGAGTTTGCTGTACAAAAGGTCTGGAGACAGAAGATACACGAATATACACTGTCGGGTGAGGACTGGGCCGTAGAGAACAGTAAAGCCAGGTGAGGGGTGCACACAGCTCCACCACCACCAGGAACATGCTCAGTCTCTACGTCTGCATGTCCTTCAAATACTTGTTTCAGTTTTGTCATTGGTTGACAACTTATTCGTTAATGCAGCAACTCAATAAATAAATGAAGATACTTCATCTACTTAGAAATAAAGATTGCTAGAGACCATTAAAAATCCTTGCTGAAAACTTATCTATTCAAGGAAGACAATAACTGTTAGGTACAAAGAGTCCTGGAGTGGGACTTTCAAAAATATAGCTCTTATTTTGGCCGTCACATGAATAGATAATATGCATACCCATGTTCATTGCAGCACTGTTCACGATAGCAAAAGGATGGAAACAACCTAGGTGCCAATCAACGAATGAATGGATAAACAAATTATAGTAAATGCACACAGTGGAATACTATGCAATGATAAAGAACAATGATGAAGCTGTGAAACATGACATGGAGGAATCCGGAGGGCATTATGCTGAGGGAATTTAGTCAGTCACAGAAGGACAAATATGGTATAAGACCACTATTATAAGAACTCAAGAAAAGGCTTAAACATGGAAGAAAACATTCTTTGATGGTTACGAGGGTGGGGAGGGAGGGTGAGGGTTATTCACTAACTAGATAGTAGACAAGAATTATCTTAGGTAAAGGGAAGGACAGCACACACTACAGGGGAAGTCAGCACAATGGGACTAAATCAAAGCCAAGAAGTTTCCTGAATACAATCAAACATTTCAAAGGACAGAGTAGCAGGGGCGGGGGTCTGGGCACCATGCTTTCAGGGGACATCTAGGTCAATTGGCATAACACAGTTTATTAAGAAAATGTTCTGCATCCTACTTTGGTGAGTGGTGTCTAGGGTCTTAAAAGCTTGCAAGCAGCCATCTAAGATGCATCAATTGGTCCCAACCACCTGGAGTAAAGGAGAATGAAGAATACCAAAGCCACAAGGAAAAGTATTAGCCCAAGAGACAGAAAGCGCCACATAAACCAGAGACTGCATCATCTTGAGACCAGAAGAGCTAGATGGTGCCCGGCTACCACCAGTGACTGCCCTGACAGGGAACACAACAGAGAGTCCCTGATGGAGCAGGAGAAAGGTGGGGTAGAGAACTCAAATTCTAGTAAAAAGACCAGACTTGACGGTCTGACGGAGACTGGAGGAACCCCAGAAAGTGTGGTCCCCAGACTGTCTGTCAACCCAGAACTAAAACAGTTCCCAAGGCCAACTCTTCAAACAAAGATTGGACTGGACTATGGGACATAAAATGATACTCATGAAGAGTGTGCTTCTTAGCTCAAGTAGATACGTGAGACTAAATGGGCAGCTTCTGTCCGGAGGTGAGATGAGAAGGCAGAGAGGGTTAGGAGCTGGTTGAATGGACATGGGAAATAGGGGCTGGAAAGGAAGAGTGTGCTGTCACAGTATAGGGAGAGCAATTAGGGTCACATAATGTGGTATGTATAAATTTTTGTATGAGAAACTAAAATATATATATATATATATACATAGCTCTTATTTTGAAGTTTTGCACTAGCCAATTGGGGAACCTGAGACAAGTCACTCCTTAATTCTTTCTTCATTTGAATTAAATTTAAAAAATTCTGTCTCCTCTAAGCTTCAGACTTCGCAGGACTTCCCCCTCCCCTCCTCTCTGCTTCTCCCTCCCTGGCTGCACCAAGTGCTATCACTGTGCTCTGGGTTTGAAGGACACTACCGTGTCCTTTCTGTGTGTCATGTGAGCAGTGCTTGTTGTTGGACAATGCCAGGGACTGGAGTGGTTCACCTTGGTGACCCAGGGAAAACTCCATAACCGTTCGTCAGTTGTATGCAAAACTGTGTTTCCAAATTAGAAAAGAACACTAATGATTGCCAGCTTATTAAACATCTCGTGCCAGACACTGTTTTAGCAGCTCATCACAGCCTCGTAGCTATCCCTTCTGGTAGGAACCAGCAGCCTCATTTCGTAGGGCAGAGAGAGATTCAGTGACTCGCTCAGGTCACACAGGTGGTAGACTGAAGTGCGAGCAGGTAGCCATTCCAGAGCTGCCCCTGGTCGTTTCAGGAAGGCCCATCGTATTCATAACAGTTTCACAAGCCATGTGACCCCAGACTCCACCTTACATACCAGGAAGCCAGGCGAGCAGACCCTTGAGACCAGCCTCACACACACGAGCAGCAGCTGAAGTAGCTCCCCTAAGACTTGGGATTCCTACTTGCAGTTGTTAAAGGTAGTTTCATGTGGTGTTGGCATAACTGATGGGCAACTTGGGAAGCACCGTTATTTGGGCCTACATCTCGTATCGCTCTCCAAAGCAGGAAGGTGTTGGCAGTATAATGCTGAGCAGTGAGAACTGGTTATAAAACGGATTCATGCTCCTAGCCGTGTATTCCCACAGCCACTTCCATGTGCCTGTGCGCGTGTGTACGTGTGTGTAAAAACCTCCAAGGAAGTACACGTGGTATTTCTAGTACAGTGTCCTGGGAGCATGCTTGGCTTTTGCCTTCCAATTTATTCTCTGTTTTTCTATATTTTCCAAGTTTTTTATAACGAGCTGTACTACTATAATAAGCAGAGAAAACAGAAGTATTAAAATAATTTTTAAGTAAGGAATGTTTAATTCCTTATTTACAAAAGTTGTGCAGCAAGATAAGCTTTTAAATTTAATTATGAAATATTTTAAACATACAGAAAGGGATAACTTTCTAAACTTTGAAAATATAGAGGGGAAAACTACAAAGGCAGGAAGTAGATTTGACTATGTAGATGTTAGAAACCAAAGGGAAGTAGACTTAGGAAAATTCAAAGTACATACAACAGCGCTGAGATCTTTGTTGTATGAAGATGAAAGCATTAGCACCTCAACAAATAGACAAAAAATCTAGACTGTAGAGACAAGTAAATACAACTAGGAAATAAATAGAAAATATTCAGCCTTCCTAATAATAAAAAGTATGAGTTTAAAACTATGGGGTGCCATTTTTTCATCTCCAAATGAGGCCAAAAAATAAGTCTATCATCAATGTTATCAAGCTGGAAACGACATTGCTGGCAGCATTTTAAATGAGCACAGTTCTTTTGGAAAGCAATTTAACATTATGTTTCTAGAATTATCAATGCATTCATACTCTTTTACAATTAAATTTATGGGAATGTATCCCAAGGAAATAACCCTAATTATGGAGCAAGCCGTATGCCCAAAACTGTTCAACACGGCATTATTTAGTAGCAGAACTTGGAAGTGGCCCAAATATCAAACAGGAAGTTAGATACATAATGACATTCCCATGCAAGTAATGCCCCAGCAACCCCTAAAAACAATGATCTGAATCCTTGATAGCAACCTAGAAAATGGGTGGTGTATCGTGAATCGAAAAAAGAAAACTGAAGGCAGAATTGTAAGTATGTTACAAGTATGAAAAATAGTACCGGGGAGGGGAAAAGGCGGGGATCCTCGGACTGAGTTTTGGTTTGAGGGGTTTTTACGTCCTTAACACCCATTAGCCACTTCAGAAGCCACAGCATTGAGTGCCTGAGCCGGCAGCACTGACGGTGGCAGGAAGGGGGGTTAGGCTGTACGAGATCAGTGGGGCACACTTGGCAGATGGGGCCTGACATGCCAGGCCTCCAGAAAGCTCAGAGGCCAGGATGTGTCTGTGAGGGAGACGTGGTTTGTTAGCGTGGGGAAGGCAGGTCCAGTGCCGATTCCCTTGTGCCGCAGGAGAGGAGGGAGCTTTTGGGCAGCGGGAAGACTCCGACTTCTCTCTCCGTACTTGCTCCAGCCCCAGCACTACCCCCACGATGCCTGGTGTGCCATCTGCTCCCCACAGACAGGGAGCCCCCCCCACACACACACACAGCTTTGTGAGCTGTGGGGGCTCGTTACCGTTTGTGGAAACCATTCCCGGTTGTCTTGTCTGTTGTCTTTGTGCTTCTCTGAGATTCACAGATGACCCTATCCGTTGAGAGTCTCTGATAGAAGGAACTGCCCAGGCTCTTGGTGGCAGGGGCCCAGCTCCTCTTGACCGGCTCGCTGTCCTCCTCCAGGCCAGTCCCCTTTATGAGGTGGGATGGTGGCATGGCTCCACAGGCTCAGGAGCAGCACACAGGCAGATGCGTCCATGTCCTTACAGCTGGGACTCAAGGAATCAGTTGGTGTCCATCCCATAGCAGGGCACGGCCACAGTCTACCCGACCGCCCCTCCTCTCACCCTCATCTTCAAAACATTCTAAACTTGAACTTGTCTGTGGAAAATGTTTCACTGTATGTATTTCATTTTAAAAGATGACACTAGAAAAACAAAAACATGATTCTCAGAACGTCAGCTTTCTAGCCAGCTTAGACAGTGGTAGCCAAAGGCTGCTGCCCAGTGCTCTGTTAGCTACAAACCAGCTTGGTATTTGGTGTTGTTTAACATATTTCAAGTGATTGATTAAGAAAAAAAGAAAAAGACTGGCTATATTGAAAACAGCCCATTCTTTGGTCTTCCTTCAAAACCTAGTCATGTCTGTAAGGTACACCCTCTACCCTCGTGAGGTAGAGACCACGCACAAGGGAAGCAGCAGCCCTAGGGACTATCGGTCCACAGTCTTGCATGTATTCTCTTTAATTTCCTGAGAGGCTTTTACTTTCTCAAGTTTAGATGTTGAGTCTTTAAGCCCTTTACCTCCAGTTGTTGGTCTCACAGTAGCCGCCTTCCCTCTGAGGCAGCTTCCGAGGGGCAGTGCTGCAGCCCACGTGATGCCCATCGCTCAGACAGACACTCTCCTCTGCTCTGTGGGCACCTGCCTTGCACTGCCTGTTGCGAATTTGATGTATGTTGTTTGGTGTGTTTTCTCCCAGAGACTGACTTTAACACATTATGTAGTACTTAGTGTTGAGTATACCTTCCTGGATACTTAAACTGACCTATCTTTGCCTGAATGGTGCAAACGTTTAAGTGCTAGGTTCCTAACTGAAAGGTTGGAGGTTCGAGTCCACCCACAGGTGCCTCAGAAGAAAGGCCTGGTGATCTAATTCCAAAATCTCAGCCACTGAAAGAAAACCCTATGGGGTACAGTTCAACTCTGACACATATGGGGTTGCCATGAGTCAGAGTCGACGGCAACTCGTTTTTACACCATAAGGTAATGATAAACATCCTACCTGTTTGAGGAATTCTTTATTCTCTTTATTTTTCTTAGGGACCATTTGTTTAACACAGACTTTAAATATTAACAATGACTTTTGGTGCCAAGTTTGTAAAGAATGGCTGATGAGGTGTTCAGGTGGAACCGGGTCCTTGCGGCAGGGCGCCATGGCTGGCGCTGACCCTCACGCCTTTCTCCCATTCCTGTGTTTTCTCTGTTTTCCTTTGTGAATGAAACTCCTCAAATAGTCCTGGGAGGCTGGTTTTCTGGAATGCCCTCACCCTTCTCCCCTGATTGAGAAGTTTCTAGACATTTATCTTTTGTGCAGCGTTGAAAGAAAACACATCATCACGAGCCTGGGCCAACCCTTGTGCTCACACGCTCATCAGCCGTGGTGGCTCCCGGTTGCACCACTGTGGCTTTGCTGTTCTCATTTTTTGTTGTTTTTTCACTCCCTACCTGGGCCTGACTTTTCTCTGCAGGAATCTGACTCTGGTGCTTTGAGACTCTGTGTCTTAAAAGAGCAAAGGTCTAAGTTGCTTTGCTTGTTCCCTAACTTATACAGGATTAGCCAAATGTGTCACAAAACTGAGGTGGTTTGCAGGGGCCCACGTTAGTTCTGCAATATAAAGTCTTGCTTGCTGCCCAGGAGCAAGTGGGAGGTGTTGGATGGCCAGTGTCCTGTGCACCGTGTTCGAGTCTAACACCAGAGACTCACTTCATTTCAGTGAGTTTCCGGAAAGGAACCACCATCACCTATGTTTACAATCTCATTACAGCATGGGGAAATCGCATCCATTTTTTCACTAACATTAAGCTTGAAAAAGGATGGTGGCTTCAAAATTTAGGGGCAAAGCTTGAACAACTTAGATATTTTGAATAATTGGTTTTAATCGATCTTTAAAATATTGCTTGAATTTTTCTTTACTTTGATTTTCCTAAAAATATGGGAAAGTAGAAAGTTTACGTGGTGAACAGTAGGAGTGACGGGGGTGGGGGGCAGTTAAAGTTTTCTCAGTGGCCTTTCTTCGACCATCTACTCAGTGATCCAGAAAGGAGGACCGTGATGTGAAAGGCCGGCTGCAACAGTGCACGCTCTGCCAGGGCTTCCTCTCCCAGGGTGTGACTGGGCGTTATGTGCTGTGGCTGGAAGCACGCCTGTCCTACACTCTATAGGAGATCTATCTCTAGGTGACAGAGTCACCCTCTGGGTGCAGATGTCCTGTGAGGAGCCACTGCAGCTCGGCCCAGGGGACCCCCACCACCCATGTTTCTTTTCCAGGCCCCGCTGTGGGAGAGGTCCTTCGGTACCTGATCCCCACCCTCAGGAGCTGCCTGCAGCCCAGCAGGGACCCCCAGATGCGCCTGAAGCTTTTCTCCATCCTGTCAAAAGTACTACTGAGAGCCAGGGAGACAGTGGACTCCCAAGGGTAGGTGTGGGCTCTGCCACGTGCAGCCCGCTCAGCGAACTCAGCTGGGGACCCCCACCGTAGCCCACCCAGGGCTGAGGTGGGGCTTTGAGGGATGGTCCGTGGTCTTCTCAGAGGCCAACTAGGTAAACAGTGGCCCTGACAGTGAGTGGCGTCCTCCTGGGTGAGTGGTCGGCATTTAAGACAGCCAGAGAGGCACTAAATCAAAGTCGTCTTGGTGAGTCATTAAAATTCCACCGAGTGAAAAAGTTTTAGGGGACGTTAACTATGAATGGTTTATATATTAGCTGGTCTCCATTTTCAAAGCCTGTCGGTACCTTTCAAAGCTAACAAAGAATTGATTGAATCACTACTGATGGTTGAGGTGTTAGAAATGCCCTTTTATTGTCTAAAAGAGATTGTAGGTGGCAGGAGAACGCTAAGGGCCTCAATGTCACAGCTTTGAAGCAGGCGAAGAAGAAGAGACAGCGGTTCTGGTGTGCATGCTGACAAGTCCAGGGACCTGGGGTGCAGCCCTGCACCCCCCAAAGCCATGCATCCTGGGGGGTCCCCCAACAGCAGCACCAGGACACATGAGCAGATCCCACAACAAAACATTAGAAGGATCCGGAGCCACCGTGGAGACAGTGCCCTGGGCGGGTCTGACTGCACGGCAGCTCTCGGGACGTAACATTTTTCTTGTAAATCAGCAAAGCACCTAGAGTAAGCCTCTATTCCCTGGCCTTCAGGTCCCGTCCCGACCTTCATCCCCCAGCCCTTGGGTCCTGTCCTGACCTCTCCCCCAGTGAGTCCTATCCCGACTTCCATCCCCCCAGCCCACAGGTCCTGTCCTGACGTCTCTCCCCCAGTGGATCCTATCCCGACCTCCAAGCTCCCAGCCCACAGGTCCTGTCCGGACGGCTCTCCCCCAGTGGATCCTATCCCGACCTCCGTCCCCCCAGCCTTAGGACCACGTCTCAACCTCTGGCCTGCAGGTCCCATCCCGACCTCCATCCCCCAGGCCCGCAGGTCCCATCCTGACCTCCGCCCCCCAGCCCGCTGGTCCTGTCCTGACCTCCGCCCCCCTAGCCTTCAGGTCCCGTCCCGACCTCCATCCCCCCGGCCTGTGGGTACTGCCGCAACCTCTGTTACCCCTGACCTCCATCCCCCCAACCCATGAGTCCCATCCTGACCTCCACCCCCCAACCCATGGGTCCTATCCTGACCTCCATCCCCCAGTGGCTCCCATCCCAACCTCTGGCCCCCCAGCCCCTGGGTCGCATCCCGACCAGGGTGCGGGTTGGAGGTGGGGCTGCAGTGACTCAGGGCACCTGTCCTTTCTGTGGCTCAGCAGGAGGGACTGCCATGAGCCGAGTGGGCTTCTAGGGAGCAAACCCATCAAGAAAGGAGTGCTTCTTTGTGAGTGACCTGTTAAAAGGCTTCAGATAGAAACAAACAGTCTGGTCACTCAGACGTTCACTCTGACTGTAATGTGCATCCTCTGCTGTTGGGCCTGACACCAGCTGGTCATATCACAGGAAACTTTTTTTCCTGATTGTCGGCAAAAGCTTCGTGGCTTAGGAGAAACATAGAAGGACATGAGCATGACACGTGGGCAGCCACCCCACAGAAGCAGGTGTTCATGTTGGCGATGCACTGGGACTGCGCTGGCAGTGCCTGTGTGCACTGGCCCCTTATCCTGCTCCAGACCCCACGCTCAGCCGCGCTTCTGCTGGGAACCATAAAATGTTAGAAGTTGTACCTGAGAACAGAGTTACCTCCATGAAATTCGGATTTCAGGTTTTAGGTAAATTCCAAAGGAAATCACACTGAAGATTTCTTATAGAAAGGAATTAGTATCAGGAGAAGTGAGTTGCTCAAATTACCACTGTTTTAGTAAACTTATTAGCTATGTTCACAGGCAAGAAGGATGGGAAAAAAGGATCCATGTGGTGCTGAATTTTAGGATTCCAGAATGGTAGAATCATAAAATGGATCGTTGACTGTTGAGATAGAAACGATTGGAAGGGCCCCATTGCTGGCATCATCTCTCCAAAGTGTATTCATTCATCTGTCAACAGGAAATTACTGAGCACTTACTGCATTCGGGAACTACACTGTGGGAGGCAGGAGGGAGAACTGGAGTGCCTGAGGGGCCAGCTTTTGGAACCAGGTTTCTATTTTGGATGCACAGGTAGTCAGAAAGGTTCCCAAGGAACAGCTGGTGAGGGGGGCGCTCCTTAGTTTGAGGCATATTCACCGTTAGGGGATGCCCTGTTGAGCCCCCCCAGTCCAGTTGCCATTGAGTCAACTTGACTCATGGACCCCACATGTGTCACAGTACAACTGTGCTCCATCAGGTTTGCAATGGCTGATTTTTCAGAAGTAGATCGCCAGGACTTTCTTCTGAGGCGCCTCTGGGTAGGCTTGAACTACCAGTCTTTCAGTGAGCAGCCAAGTGTGTTAACTGTTTGCATCACCCAGGGAGTCCTGAGCCCCTTTAAGTGGGTAATTACCCCCTTTATAAGTAAGGGGCCTTGCACACCAGTCCCTGCATCTGGTCCCCCTGCTGGGCCTCCATCCCAGGCCCTGTCAGCCGAGCTGCCATGTCAGTGGTGGGCTTCCCTCCCCTCCAAGGCCACCTTGTTTTCTGTGGTCACGCAGTGAGGGGTGCCTCCATGTGCCGGCCTTTCTCCTCATCAGCCATCTGCCATTGCCAGACTCCTTGGAGGGGCCAGGAAGACATGGAGTGCCAGAGCCATCTGCTGTTGCCAGACCCCCTCAGAGGGCCGGAAACACCTGGAACACAGGGGCGGGGGGCCTGCAGTCAGCGTTGGTTCAAAGCAGTGGAGGGGGGGCCCTGCAGTCAGCATTGGTTTGAGGACTGGGAAATCAGGGCAGCCTCAAAACAAAATTTTTATTTAAAAATTGCTCACCAGTAAAGGTGATATGGGCAATTTTAATAAACAGCTCAATTTGATCTGGTCTTCTCTTTGATGGAGCAGGGCCCCCCTCCTCCCCCGAGCAAGGTTTTAGAGGAGATGGTTGGGGTCTTCTTGACCCAGGGTTCTCTGTGGACAGGGGTACACGGGCCTGCACAGGCAGTTGAGGTTTTGAAAGTAGCATGCTTCTCTTTGCTCCCCACATTTTAGGAGTTCAGGTCAGCGGGTTCTGGTTCACTAGGTGCTTGACCTGGCCCCTTCCAACGGCCCCTCCTGGCCAGTGCCCCAGGCAGGGGGCTGCCAGCCCATGGGCTCTCCAGGCACTTCAGTAGACCACCCTAGAGACAGAGACTCAGGGTTTCGGCCATTCCAGACATTCCTCTTTTAAATCTCTGTGCAGGCAATGACAGCTCCTTGCTTAAAGAATAAAGCACACTGAAAACCTCAACTGGATCCGTGTGCATTGCCCTGACCCAGTTTGCTCTCTTACCTTCACTAGGAGCAGAGGGTCCCCATCCACAGCTGCCTCTCCAGGGAGTAGAGGGCTCGGGCTCTGGTGCCAGCGTCCAGCTTTACTTCCACTTGTTCTCTGTCTGGCCCTCCCAGCGCACAGGTCACCCCAGATGAGGTCCCGTCAGAGGCTGCGGCCTCCTCACTGCTCCCTGTGCTCTGGCTGCAGGCAGTTCCATGGCCATCTCAAGATGCTGGTGACAGACATCTTGGTCCCCAACCTGCAGTGGCACGCTGGGAGGACCGCTGCAGCCATCCGCACAGCCGCCGTGTCCTGCCTCTGGGCGCTTGTCAGCTCTGGGACCCTGTCAGCCGAGCAGGTATGGGGCACCCAGGCTGTGCAACATGGGGCTGGGTGGGGGCACCCAGGCCATACGCAGTGGGGGCCGGGCTGGGAGGGGTGCCCTGGTACCCACAGGGCAGCGTGACTCCAAAGGGGCTCCACAGATGTCCCAGCAAGTCTCTGCAGTGTGGAAACGTGGAAACAGGCATTTGTGCAGAAGGCTCAGGCAGCTGACACATCTGCGTGGTTCATTCTCCTCATGGGATTTGGGGCGGGGGGGCGGGACAATGGCGGGCACTGGTTTCTCAGCCTGCAGCCTTTGAGTCCTGAGCTCTAGACCAGGGGTGCGCTGCTTGTCCCACAACTCAGTCCATGAGGCAAAACACTTTCTAAGGCAGATGGTGGGCAGGAAGAGGAACACGGCAGCGCCTCGGTGGGCGGGGAGTGGAGCCGGGGGTGTTCAGTGGATGGGGAGGGGAGCTGGGATGCGGCATTGGGCAGAGCAGTGGTCTTACAGAGAGCAGAGAGATTTGCTCTGAACACATTTCCTGTCCTGCAGCAGTTAGGGATTTGACAGTCAGGGACTCAGCAAGGGTTTGGTCTGCTTGGCTTAAGTTCACACTCTGAAGGTTGCTGTTTGCAAGACGAAGAATTTATCCTCAGGGCTTTGTACGGAAGAGGGTAAGTGCTTTGGATTTCTGCATTGTTTTTACTGACCTCTCCAGTTAACGCAGAATCAGAATGGGACAGCAGTGTTGCCGAGACACTGATGTGCCAACATTGCTTTGGGCTGAGGCATCACGTGAATGTGTGCTGTCAGCAGCTGCCCTGCAAGCTGCTTACGTGGCATGAGCACCACCTCCTGGTGCACCGGAGGGTTGTTACTTAAGTTAAAATATTCCAGAGATTTAAGTGGACCCAATATGTAATTGCGGTCATAAGGAGTATGCCACGAATGATCTGTGCCTCACTAGGGATTTGTAGATGATTTTTTTTTTAATCAACTGGTCAAGTTAAACAGAAAGCGTTCAGATTATCCAAACTTTAAGTCAAAATTCATGTTACTTCTTGGGTAAAAATTTCAAAATGGCATTCCAAATTCCATTGTATCCATCCAAAACCACATCTTCTTCTTTGCAGGCAGGAGTGTACACGTGGTGAGTGAGGGTGGTCTCCGTCATCGGGGCTGTCTAACTGTGACTTCACAGGTGAGCACCTCCTCTCTCTGCTCTCCATTGCAGATCCTGGAGGTGCAGGGGGCGTTGATGCCACAGATGGTGACCACCCTGGAGGAGGACTCCCAGATGACCCGGCTGATCTCGTGCCGCATCATCAACCTGTTTTTACAGACCTCTGGTGACACAAATGAGCCAGAGAAGCTCCTCAAGATCTACCCCGGTAGGGCACCTCTGTCTCAGAGCATGTGTGTGTGTTTAAAGCTGACAGCTCTTTCTACCTTCTGACTGCTGGTCAGGTTGGTTCTCTGAGCCTAACACAGCAGTGACAGATAAATTGTCACTGAGTGAGTGACACAGCCACACACAGAGAAGGATGAACGTCTTGTGGGCCAGAAATGGGGGCACTGTGAAGACAGGCATGGGGCTCAGCCTGCCCGGAGGGCAGGGCTGCAGGGAAACTAGGTGTGGGACGAGGTCCTACCTGTGGAAGGCAGGCTGCGGAATGGGCCACCACCAAGTTGAGGACCCCAGGATGGGCAGAGACAGAGCCATGCAAAGGGGCCCACGCCATGCCACTGTAGCCTGGCCTGGACACAGTGCCATCCCAGAGCCTCTGCCTGTTGGGAGCCCCAGCTGCCAGGGAAGCCCGCCATATGGACCATGGTTGGAGTTGGGGTTGGGGAGTGGGTAGCGGCAGGGCTGTAAGATAGAAGTCATCAAAACACAAAACACTGAAAAGAGCAGTGAGTGCAGAGAGGGACAGTCCCATCACCCGAGGTGAGCCAGCACACAAAGGTGCCTGAGGACATACGGAAAAGCTGACGTTAAGGAGGTCACCAACAGACCCAACAGTTGGTAGAGAAGACATCATGATAGAACTGTCTCAGAGGTAGCTTTTCAGAGTGTGTTTAGGAGCGTCAAAAAGCTGAAAGAATAACATCCATTAAAAAACAAGTGGAGAAACAAATAGGCAGACAAGAATAAAGAACAAATGGATATGAACAACAGTCAACCCAAAATTCTAGAAAATGCATGGGAGTGGTGCACCCTGGTTTCAGGACAGGCTGGGTGAGGCAGGATACCCAAAGCCTTCGTATGCATTCATTACATTTTATTTCTTGAGCTGGGTAGTGACTATAGAGGTTTTTGTTATTATCTATACTTTTTATATGCCAGAAATATTTGGGAATTTTTAAAAGGTGAGTTTTAAGAATTCTTGGAAATTAGAAATACAGTCATTGAAATTTAAAACTCAATACATTGGATAAACTCTGGACTGAACACTGCTGAAGACAGAATTAATGAATTGAAAGATAGTAATTTGGAATTCACTCAGAACATAGCACAGAGAAAGATGGAAAATAGGGAAGTTGAGCCATGGAGTATAAGCAAGAGGCTCCAGCATTTTTCTGAGTTCCAGAAGAAAATGGAGGAATGGTGGAGGGTTATAATATTGGAAACAGTAGTGAATCGAAGACAGACGTGAATTTTCAGACTGGAAGCGCATACTGAGCGCCAATTAGGAAACCAGTAACCAGTCCTGAGTGCGGTGCCTCCCCACATCTTTCAGGTTTGTTGTTGTCTGTGTAGCAACAAGCATTGCATTCCTGCTGGCAGTCTTCATGATTCTGTTTCTGAAGATTCAACCGGGGTGATTTTTGACTACCAGGATTAAGTGGGGTTTTGCTCACTTTTTAAAACAAAAAAAATTAGAGACTTTGAACCAGTGAAGAGGCTGTATGTTAGCGTGTGGTTGATTTTGTTACAGAATGATTCCTCCTGCGCTCCTTTGGTGCAGTCCAGTTCTGTGCTTATTGGGCGGTGTGCCAGAAGAACTATTGCCCGCTTGGCCAGAAAGGGCCAAACTTCTGAGCCATGCATAGAGCCTCTGAGGCTTTCCCGTGGCAAGCGTTCACACATGCAAACATGACAAGCACAAGCTCACGCATCCTGCCTGCGTGAGTCAGTGGGTGCACATGAAGGTGGCCTGAAGCCATCACAAAAGTGAACTTGCAGGCAACCTTGTATTTCTAGAGTAGTTGCCATCGTGTATGTGAGAATACGGTCGAGAATTATCCAGCATTGGCCTGACCCAGCGGAAGTGCCACGTCCCTCATGCACTGTCGTCCACAGACTGTGGACAGGTCACGTTATATCCCTGACTCAGGGCCTTCATCCTTGAGGTGTCGATAAGAACAGTGTTGCCTCGTCAGTTGTTCCAGCGTAAAGGAGGGAATGCCGCCTGGCAGGCTCCCTGTCCTCTGGTCCAAGATTTGTAAGCTCGGGAGCTTCACCAACTCCCCTCCTCCCCCCAGGGCCCAACACCGCCCTGCTCACCTGGAAGTCTGCCCCCTGTGGGCCTTCTGGAACATGGATGCTTCTGTTCCTTTAAGTAAACCAGGACAGTCTTGCCGTGGATCCCACCCCTGGTGTGGGGTCCACACTCAAACCCACGAGCTCTAGCGCTGGGGAGACGCCTTCCTGCCGAGCCCAGGGCTCCTCCTTGGCTGCTGTCTCCTCCCCACCCATCTACTACACATGTTCTGTTTGATTGTCTGCTGAGTCGCCAAAAGTTACCCAGTAGTAGGTGCCAAAATCTTACAAAAATTATGTAAGAAAAGCATAAACTTGATAAAACTGTATCCGTTTGCTTTAAGAGTTTCTGCCCAATGGGAAGATTGTCATTGTTTCTGTTTTTAGCAGCAGGGAGGTCTGGTCATGGGGTTCATCGGGAACAAGACACTCCAGCTAGTGGTGGCCGTGCCACTGGGCCCTTGGCTCCATCCTGCACAGGGGCAGGTGGCAGGCTTCATCCCACAGCCTGTCCCTCCAGCGCTGTGGTCTTGGGAGTGGGGTGGCCAGGTTGTGTTGCCTGTGGGTAATGAGCTTTGAATCCTCTCAGGGGCCAAGGGGTGGGGGAAGCGTTTCACAGGTGAGACAGGTACAAGCAGTCCAGCTCTGCCAGGCCCACACAGTGAGTCCTTAGAGGAGCCACACCAGAGCCCGGTGTCCACACCCTCCCTCTGGCCACACAGGACAGCAGGAGCCACACCCTCGGTACCTGTGTGTAGGCCCCAGGTACAGAACTCTCCCCACAGGCTGGGGTTCCCTGTGACCCTGAGGGTGAGGGCTCCACTATGTGAATTATCTTTGATGGAACACATCTCTACCTCATACTCTCTGTCCTGGCCACTTCTTCCAGAACTCTTAAAACGCGTCGATGACGTTTCCAACGAAGTGAGGATAGCAGCTGCCACCACCTTAATCACCTGGCTGAAGTGTATCCGAAATGATGACAGCAAGTCCTACTATCAGAGTAATATCCAGTACCTGTACAAGGAGCTGCTCGTATACCTCGACGACTCGGAGCCAGCCGTCCAGGACTCAGTCTTAGGTGAGCTTGTAAAGATGTGCTTGGCTCTGTGCTGTCTCTGAGAGCATTAGAGTGCTCACATCTGAGCATTCGGTTACCACACCTCAGGGCATCGGCCTCGGGGCACAGCAGATACCCCTAGTCAGCCAGCTTGGGACCCCTCGATGCTCTTGTTATTGGAGATCCCAGAGAAAGTTTGCATGTGTGGGTCATGTCTCTTGATACTTGCCTTATTAGAAATTAAGAAAATTCTAAAGTATTTATTCATTTGTTTAAAATACTAGTAAACTCATTACATATTGACATAAATGTCATGTTTTTGAAAAATGTACTTTATAAAACAAGATCATTAGCAAGAAGAGTGACATGGTTTTACATTTCTGCAAATCTCTAATGTCTGACTTAATAGACAACTGAATTTTTTCTTATCTACTCTGCACTTAGTTGGTTGTGAATGTTGTCCTGGCTGAAGTATATGGCAAAAGGAGTTAAAACTGTTAAGCGCTTGGCGGCCAACCAAAAGGTTGGAGGTTTGAATCTGCCCAGAGGCACCTTGGAAGAAAGGCTGGCAGTCTACTTCCGAAAAATCAGCCACTGAAAACCCTATGGAACACAGTTCTACTCGGACACACATGGGGTTGCCCTGAGTCAGAGCTGACTTGACAACTTTTTTTTTTTTTTTTTTTTTTAATGGAAACAATCTGGCCTCATGCAGGTACATGGTTGGAAAAGAGAGGACTCTGAGCCCAGCCAGTGGAGCCGGCGCTCATCTCGTGCTGGCAGCTATTGTAGCATCACACGCGTTACGCAGGGTGTTCAGAGCTGTGCACACGAAGACTGAGAGTTAACAAAATTAACTTTCCCTGTTTCACTGAGGGCATTCTTAAGTGAAACTTACATTTTTTTTTTCTTTTTATTGTGCTGTAGATGAAGGTTTACAGAGGAAATCAGTTTCTTGTTAAACAATACACATATTGTTTTGTGACATTGGTTGCCAGCCCCACGACATGTCAACACTCTCCCCTTCTCGACCTTGGGTTCCCCGTTACCAGCTTTCCTGTTCCCTCCTGCCTTCTCTTCCTTGCCCCTGGGCTGGTGTGCCCATTTAGTCTTGCTTTGTTTTGTGGGCCTGTCTAATCCTTGGCTGAAGGGTGAACTTCAGGAATGACTTCAGTACTGAGTTAAAAGGGAGTTCAAGGGCCATCCTCTTGGGGGAAACTTACATTCTCTAATGGTGAGCCTGCGGCGATGAGGGATGTGAGGTTGCTGTACAGCTGGGTACCCCGTACGGCTCATGCTCACAGCAGTTTTACCCTCTGTTGCTTTTGCGCTGGCAGTTTGAACACAAGCCCAGTGCGAGGCACGTGAGGCCCTTGTGCTGTTATGGAAACATTTGGACTCGCAGACCCCCGGACAGTCTTGGGACCCTGGTTTCTCGGCACATTCTGGGAACTGCTGCTTTCAACAAAACAAAACCTGCTTCTTAGGCAAAAAATGCCACTGAAACATCCTAGTGGGTATTTGGGAGGTGCCTCTATTTTATGGTCTGCCAACAAGGCCAAGAAGTTGGACTCTGGTTGTTTTTAAGTTCTTTTTGTCCACATCGTGACTGTTGTAAAACACTCTTGTAGATGTTTTAGCTTTAATATGAAGCATATCTGCATATTATATTTGAGAACTTCAAACAAAGGGTAAGATTGATTCGACACTTCTTTCTGGCATTCTCACAGTTTTTTGCTGTTTTCCAGAGGTGCTCAAAGAGGGCAGTGTCCTATTCCCCGAGATCCTGGTGCAGGAAACTGAGGCCGTCCTTCACAAGCACCGCTCCCCCGCCCTCTGCGAGCAGCTCCTGCAGCACGTGCAGGCCCTGGCAGCTGCGCACTGACGGGTTGTCAGAGCACCTCAGTCCAGTGTCGGGAGGTGGGAGCCGGTGCCAGCCTTTGTCCTTATCTGGACTGGAATTTGTGCCTTCAAACATCTTAAACAGGGCACCTCTTCATCAACAGCAAGCACATTCACAATTGAGACAATGACAGCAAAAAGAATGTAGTCCCCATACAGTGTGTCTCCTGGGACAAGTGTTCTAGCCCAGCCCTTCCTGAAACAGCATTTACCAGTGGGATCTGTATTTTTATGTCTGTTCATACAGTTCATTGAGAGGTCTGCCAATGATCTACAGGTAATTTGAAGTTAAAACAAAATGGCAACTAGCCAGCCTGGCAGCTAGATCAGCTCTACTGTTATTTCCTTTTTTAGGCACAAGTGCGGTACTAGAGTCCCTAGGTGACTGGTTCTGCCTGCTGAAATGCCAACCAAGAATGTTCTTGACTATTTTTAAAAAGCCAAAGTAAATACAAAGATTTTTCATCTTTCTTTGGGTTCTAGCTCCTGAAACTTATTATCTCGGTGAGCAGACCAAAAGGAATTTGAAATCTTAAGAGCTGTCATCCATGAAATTTCCCATTTTAAATATACTGGAATTTAAAGTGTTATGTGGATGCAGTATTTTTTCTGTAGCCAGTAATGCTTATAGTCTTGAAAATAAAATCAGATATAATTTTGGTTTCCCTCTTATAACTAGCAGTAAATTATATTTTATTCTCTAGCACTTTCTACACCCAAGTGCCTAAAAGATTTAGTTTCAAATGGGTATTGTTTCCATAAGCCAATATTTATGTTAACCTAAGAGGGAAAATGCTGTGTATTTTCCAACAGTCAGATATTAACATTTATGCTTTGGTGTTTGAAATTTTAATTAAAATTATTTATTATTACTTTGTGTGCCTGTCTTTGTGCCTGTCTAAAAAGGTTAACATTTTTAGAAACAGCTAATTTTTTCCCTAGATAAACCTCAAGATGATCCAGCCTGAAGAATTCTGGGCCCCTGGCTGGGAGGGCTGTGGAGTCTCTGCTTGGTGTAGCATCCTCTCTGGACACCAGGTGGCAGGAGCGCCAAACCAATCCGGACTTCACTAGGGCATCCCTAAGGTTGCTCTCAGGGTCCTACCTTGAGTGGAGCTGGGGAGGATAAGGCCTGGGGAGGGTGATCTGAATCTGCACCATAGACTTCAGTCCTTACAGTCCAGGCCCCGTGGAGATAACGGCCCTTGTGCTGCATGTTGGCACCACCATTCTGTTCCCATCGAAGTCTCTGAAGTCATTGTCTTCAAAACTGGTTTCTAAGCCCAGTTTCTATAACTGATGACCACAGGGTTTAGAATGCCCTTTAAATATGCTCTTCACCAATTCCTTAGTTTCCCTTTGCCCTCTTTCTCTGCCATTTTCTTGAAGGTTCCTTGAGAGTTGGAGTCTGTGGTCTTCAGGTTATCAGGCCTCAGCCCAGACCTACCTTGTCCCCTCTGGGGTGGGCCCCAGAAATCAGCCCTCCAGGTGATACTGATGCATGAGAATCTCTGCCTGAGCACCAAGCATTGAACCATCCTGCTCTCTCTTCTGTCTTTAGTCAGCCATTAAGTGCCACAAGAACCAAAAATTAATGGCAGAGAGCTCAGATGGGAGGACAAGACGTGCTGAAGTATACGCTCCTGGTCAGCAGTGGGCCTGCCTTGTGAGAACGGGTGGGTTGCTGTGCCAACGTTCTGTGGCTATCCGGCCCAGCCACCAGGCTGGCTGACATAATCTGCAAGTGGGAAAATGTGGAAAGAAGTATTAGCAGTGCTTTTTTAGTTTCTATACATTTTTAAAGAAATACTCAGAGAGCATTACAGTGAATCGGTGCAGCTTGGCACAATGTTAACAGGTTATATACATGTTCAAAGAGAGACACAATTTCAGTCTACAAAGGGTTAATCTAAACTGAGAAGCACCATGTCCCTCTCCACTAAATTCTTTGAAATTACTGTAAACTCTTCATTCAACTCAGTCAGCAAACATGTATGTAGCCTCTGTCAATCATGTGGCAGGTGGTGGGGAAGTAGGACAAATAAAATGCAGCCCCTGAAGCTTACTGGAACAGCTTTCCTGAGGTATAATGTACATACCACAAAATTCACTTGTTTTAAGGGTGAGTTTTAGTAAATTTTGATGAGTTTTAGTAAATTTACAGAGTTGTGCTACCACCACCACAATCCAGTGTTTGAACACTTCCTTCAACCAAGAGAATTCTGATTTGTAAATCAGAAACCCAATTGACAGTGGGTGATGTTCTTGGCTCACAGGCCAGCACACCTGTTTGTCCTACATAGAGAAGCCTGTTCAGGATGTCACAGCAAAAGGTTTATTAAAAGTTTGTCTTGCTAAAAAATGAAAATACAAAGATCTCTAAGTGTTCACAGCAACTTTATTCTAGCCCCAAACTGGAAGCAATCCAAATGTCCGTCAACAGTTATGAATGGATAAACTGTAGTATACCCATGCAATAGAATACTACATTGCAATAAAAGAGAACAAATGAATAATACACACTGCAACTGCGGATGGCTCTCAGACATGCTGAATGAAAGAAGACAGATGTATGACAGTACATACTGTATGATTCACATGGAATTCAAGTAACAGGCAAAGCTGTTCTACAGCTCTTTATTAATCACTGAATCAATGATGTGTATATAGGAGCTCATTATGCTTTTCTATTTGTGTATGTGTGTGCGACATGTTTCATAATGAAAGTATTAAAACGTTAAAAAACAACCATCTGGCTGAGCTTGGAATACAGACCCTACAATTGAGCGCTCTGGGAGGCTGGCTCCTCCAGGCAGGAGCAGGAAGGGTGGTGTGCCCTTGATCGAAGGCTTGTCTTTCCACTAACAGCTACCTCTCGACCAGCCTGGGAAGTTAAATTTTCTCTAAAAATAACTCTCTTCCTGACTTTTCCCAATTTCCAGGATTCTGTAAAGAGCTAGAGTCATCCGGACTTCGAGGCACTGCCCATGGGACATCAGACATAAGAGAAGGACATCACTGGGTGGTTACATAGGGTGATAGGCTTTCCTTTGTTGTCTTCCAGACTTTGAGTCATTGATCATTTTAAAAGCATTTTAAGAAGCTATGGACGGTGATGTTGTGGACAGCTCTTGGTATCACAGAGGGGACCCTGTCAGCCTCTCTCCTTTGACTTAGGCATGTCCTTGGCCCTTGTACCCCAAGAGCCTCTTTCCTGTGACTTCCTATAAGAAAATGATGGTGCCAGGAGCCAGTCTGGACACTGAGGCCTGGAACCTGCCCTGAGGACAAAAGGACTTACTCATCTGTTCTTAGGCTTCCGCTCAAGGATTTTCTTAATGACTTAGAAAGCGTAATTTGAAGAGACAAGGCAGTTGCTGGTTCTTAGTTGACAGCAAATGGTAACTGTAGATGGAAGAATCTATTTAGAATTCAGGTGTTCTCCTCCTGGCCTAATTTCAGGCACTTTTTTTTATCCTTTAGGGCTGTGTGTTAGTTTCCTTTTATTTCTGTTCTTCAGAAAGTGAGTTGACAGTTTTGGCCAAGATAGAAAGTAAAGAGAGGTGGTAACAACAGCAAACGTAAAATGAGGGACAGGACGATGGCCTTTTAAACTAGCATAGGGAAGTGGGCTTGGTGCAGAATGTTGACACTTTTTTGGACACTCCAAATGACAGGCATTAGAAGTGAGGTTTTCATCTTTGAGTCCAATTCTTTGGGCTCTATGTCCACGCCACGGTATTTCAATTTTAATGTAAATACACGCGCCAATCCTGCTGACCCTGCAACTGTGGCTGACAAAGGCTGTGTAAGGAATGGCTACAACCTGTTGGAAATGGTTGTCCTGGAATAACTGCAATTGCCCTTGAGAAGTGGCCTTGGCCTTTGTCTTAGGGTGACAGCTTTAGCCACTAACACTTCCCATCAAAGTCCTTTAGTATGTGCTTCTTTCCCTAAATAATGAAGTAAAAATAATTTGTTTTGGAAAGCACTGTGAAAATTTCACATACAACTTAAAATCCTTGATAACATTTAATAACAAAACCAAGATTAGGAATTACTATTTTGGTGTAGAAAATTCCTACTCACTAAGATTCCTAGTCATTCCAAGTCACTGAGTTGTAAGAAGATAAGGTATTAGTGTCGGGATAATACCATATTTTCTTACTGAGCCCAACAGCCGACTTCCCTCCCCCGGTACAGATGCCCCAGGGGCCTCTCCCTTATCATTTAGCAACTTGGTCTTGTGAAATGAGGCACACAAGATTCTCGGTGATGTTTGTTCCAGGGCAGCTGAGGGATTTCTGTGCCCTCCTTAGACAGGGGAATGCCATTGGTCCCTGCCAAATAGACACTGGACAAACAGCTACTGCCCTTCTTGCCCACACTTCCCAGTGTTTGGCCTCTTTGTGTATGTTCAACAGATGCTCTCCTGCTGTCACATTAAAAAGAAAAAAGTATGAGCACAGAAGTTACAAGAGTTTTAGTATCAATGTAGGCCACTGACTTGGTGACCTTCATGACCCCTCTGCCTGCTGGTATGGTTCTGCCACCTGTTGCCAGTGTTGGCGCCCACCTGCTTCTAGAAGCCACGGATCAGCTGTTGTGGGTCTGTGAGGCGAGTTTGCCCATGCTTGTTCTCGAGGTAGGGGAAGGTGAGCATCCACTGGCTGCTGGCTGGCCTGCAGGGAACCCCTCACCAGGTGCCCACATTCCAGAACATTCTTCACTTCTCCAGCCCGGGGGTAGGACTCAGGGATCTCAGAGGCCCAGGTCCGATCTGATTGGCAGCAATGGGCTGTGCTCACCACGGTCTCGGGTGCCGGGAACGGTAGTGCCTCCATGTACAGATGCAAATGTGGACCCTGACACCCAGACGCTGGCATCCAGAGCCAGGGAGCGTGAGCTGCTTTCCCAGCCTCCCTTGCAGAGTGGCAAGGGCACGTGACCTGGACTTGGCCAATCAGCGTACCTGTCCCGGTGATTCGGGCATTCCATTCTGGCAGGTGACAGGTGGCGACACCCCAATGTCGGGGCCCTGAAGAGGCTGCGGCCCCAAAGGCGTGGATGGCACGCGGTGATGGTCGCTCTGAGCGCCTGGGGAATGCTTCTGGCCACGAGGCCTCAGATCCTGGGGGGCACCTCAATCTCTGAGCCCCTTTAGTAAGTGCCCTTTCTACCTCCATGACCGGGCTGCACTCTGTCAGGAGAACACACTAAAACACTAAGGTAGCAGGGTAGCAAGGGGCTAATGGAGGGAAGGAGAGAGGAGCTGCAGGGGACAGGACTCACCAATACCTGTATTCAGAAGCCTGGAGCAGGTGGAGGAGAAGCCCTCTGGCAAATCCGCAAAGCCACCCTGTCATTGTCACGGCCACCGGGGGAAGTCTGTGAAACCGCAGCCTCTGACCAGCAAGACCCCAAGAGCTAGGCTTCCACTTCACTTCCATCTTCCAAATCTTAAGTGAGTTCCTTCCTGTCATTCACTAACTCTAACCTGGATCCTAACTAAGGGAAAGGATTCCAAGAAACCTAGTTCCCAGCCTTACAGGGAATGGGGGTGCACTTCAGGCGACCACAGTCAGTTTGGGACAATTACCTATGCATGCCCTCATAACTGGGCATAGATTTCTAGATTCAAAATTTTTCCTCAGAGTTTTGAAGCCACAGCTAGCTCTGTTGTCTTGCCATTGGCAGTTCAATGGTCATTCCTTTGTAGGAGTCATGACATTTATCTCCAGATACCTTTGTTGTTGTTATTGTTGTTAGCTGCTGTCAGGTCAGTTCCCACTCATAGCGACCCCATCCACGTACAACAG